GAAGCTTATAGCAAACCAATAATAGATACTCTTTTATTGGCACGTCGCGTTGGTTATATTTATAAGCGTGTGAAGAATTTCTTGAAATTTCAGTTTACGTAACAATATTGATGCTAACACTAGCGTTTACGTACACACACACATATTGTTGATTCTTACACTCGAGAATCTTATACAACTTTAGAGAATAGGAGGGAGTTTCGCAATACATATTTGACAGTATAAGTTATGTACATTTCTAAATGTAAATTTAATTTGAACAAACATCGATATTAAAACAAATGTATAATAATAAATCCGTCACAAAGCGAATTTTTAATCGATTTTAACTATTTTTGAAGTTTATGTGTTTTTAGTGGATGACTTCCGAAGTAATGTACTTTGCGCAAGCATTAATTTAACGTTATTAGTACAAAACGTTGAGAACTAACTGTATGAGTGGTATGGGAAAGATTAACAACAAAATAATGGTTTGTTGGCATATAAGTTTGTGATCTATCTGTAAAAAAGCCTTTGAATTATTTCATGTGGTATTTGTGGAAAAAACCGTAAAATTTTCATGTGGTGAAGATACCTCATGCCACGGCCTAATAAAGTCAGATTAACAAGTTGCAAACACTCGGTGACACCATATAACCTTCAGTGAGCAGACTCGTCTTTCATCTTTCTATCTAGAACCTTGGCTGTTGAAGACTTTCAACCTGAAAATATTACAGAATTATTTTTTATAAAAATAAATAATTAACGCACTTTAATGAAAAATGAAATTGAAAAGGACCGCAGAAGTTTGTTCAGTGAGAAATTTCTATTACTGCGAAAATTTTACCAGTTAGAGAAAAATGCTGATTAAAGTATACGTGTATAAGGAATCAAGGAACTTGACTGAACACTAAGTAGCGCTAATGTTGCCTCTAGAACGTTTCGAAAGTTCGTCGTGAAACCCATAGGGAGTGTCTAAACTTAATACACTAATCTGAAACTTATTACAAGTATTACCACTAGAAGACAAATCAAGCAGCGTAAAAATGGTTCATTTTAAGCGTACAGTGTGCAAAATAAAATATTAATGAATTGTATTTGCATATTTTTTAATTATTATATTTTTTGAATAGTCCTTGCTAGAAACACAAACACAATACAATTGTAATACATTAGCTTTAAACATATAAATAAGCATATTCTCTATGTTATTTTGTGATATTTATTTTAATTGTTTG